GACACAGCAGGGGCTGTGCCTGCAGCCAGGCATGTGCCAAAGGGAATAAACTCAAGGGGCAGCAGGGTGAGGAGGAGCACTGGGAACAGAACAACTGACAGGGCACATCAGGGTTTGTTCCCAGCCCAGCCATAAGAGAAAGAGAAAAGTCACATCTTGAGTAGCTATAAAAATCCAAAATGGGCAGATGGAGGAAATGCCCCATGGCCATGGGGGAGAGCGAGGTGAGCAGGACAGAGGTGAGGAAAAGGGCATTCCTGGGATAAAATTACATCCAACTTTTTCTCCTAACTCCTTACTGGTACCTCAAAAAGTTCATTTTTTTCCTCTTTGTGTGCCCTGAACCCCATCAAAGTTCCTCATTTGCTGTATGGGGAAAAGTCAAATCCCACAGCCCTGCTGGGACCAGCCCCCTCCTGCTCTTCAGCACCACAAATTCCCAAACATTTCTGCCAAAGCACAGAAAATATTCCCAATTTATTAAGCTGGCTGAGCCCTGTGTGAATTCTACCAAACCAAAAGTGTCTCCCAAAGGTTTTCCACTCTCTCTCCCAAAAATCTTAGCTCATTTCTGTGTCACGTCAGGCCTTCCCATCACATTAAGACATTTATTAGAGAGGATTACTCGGTGCCTGTGGTTACCCCTCCCCATTCCCAGTTGTCCAAAGGGATTTATCTCCCTTTGCACCAAATAGCTCTGCTGCCTGGGGACTCCCTCCAGCACAGCCAAGCTGGTGACAAGGGACAGCCACACATCAGACACCTTTTGGTGGCCATTCAGTATTTCCAGAGAAAAGCCTCATCCACCTTGCCAGGCTGGGATTTAAATGCTGAATTTCAGGCACAAACAGAGATTAAATCTGAATTTCCCTCAGTCACAAAAGTAGGGTAGGACATGCTCAGAGGTGGCCCCTCACGTGTTCTCAGGGCAATTAACAGGAATAGCAGAGTAATTAAGCACAAATCTTTCTGTGCTGCAGGAACACAGAGTGGGAACAGCTCTTTTAACAAGCACCAGGCACGGGCAGACAGGAGCTGGAATTTAGTGCCCATCCTGGGAATGAACTGAGCCACCAAACCAGGAATTTCTCCCCTGAGGATCTGTGGGCTCAGTGAGCACACAGGGTGCAGACCCAGCAAAAATCAGCAGATCCACCTCTGAGCCTCACCCACCTCCTCCTGAGGGATGCAGGACCCACCTCTGAGCCAGGGCTGAGCATCCCAACCTGAAAAGCCACCAGGAACCAGAGCTTTGCTCTCCTCCACCCCCAGAGCCTCAGGCCGTGCTGGGAAGAGCAGAGAGGGTTGGGAATCACCTGTTTCCCACTGCAATAGGTGGAAAACTACAGCACCACCCCAAGTCACTGAGTTCTGAACATCTGGAGCATCCTCTGTCCCCTCAGCTCCCTGGGACAGCCCATGGAATGTCCATGGAATGGCATCCCATGGGCACAGGGAGAAGGGATCACCCACACACATCCCAAAGGCTCCAGCTCCCACATTCCTGCTCTCCTGCAGCAGCTCCAGCACCCAAACACAGCAATGGGATTCTAATGACCAGGAGACCCTGCTCCAGCCTCCTCCCACCCCTGGGTTTGTGCTGGATGCTCTGAAGGGACCATTTGTTGCAGGAGTTCCAACTTCTCTCCTCGCCCACCAGCTGCCACAGCAGAGGAGGATTTCCAGCCACAAACAAATTCCCTTTCTGTTCTCCAAAGGGCTTCTCCCACCATGAAAACTCATGTTTAAATTATATTTTTTTTTCTCTTTGTAAAGCAATGCAAGCAGGCACTGCCAACATGAAAGCCCTGCACCCAGCATTCCTGCAGGACAGAAATGTTTTGTGCCCCAGATGACATCAGGAGTGGGATGCTAAAATATCATTCCTGCCATCAAAATAAGGCTGCTCAGCCTCTTAAAATTCATCATTAAATCCAAACACCTCCTGTTCTAACAGGTCTCTGCCCATGGATGTTAAATGCTATGGAGAACATCCAACCTTCAGGTAGCCAAGGGTTAAATCTGCCACAGCCTCACAAGGCCTCCACATATCCAAATTATTAATTTTCCTTCTACTTTCAATGTGATATCTAATGATTTCACATCAGAGGGTGAAAGGAATTCTGGCTGAATCCCAGGTGTCACCAGCAGAAAAGACAAGTGCAAAGAAAATAATGGGCTGGAGCTCAGGAAAACCCCCTGGAAAACTCAGAAGTGAGAAAAGAATCAACTCCTGGCTCTTTCCAGATGCCAGCATTTGGGGATTTGCATGAGGGAGGGCTGGGAGCTGTAAAACAAAAAATGGGATTAGAAAGTGCAGAAAATGCCACAATGGCTCAGCCTGGTGTGGACACTTGGGGGTTTCTCTGAGCAGCAGCAGAGTCAAAAAATCCACGAATTTAGGTCCAGATTGACCCCACTTAATTCCATTTAAACTGAGTTGCTTCACTCTAAATTCTTCCCCTGCTTCGTGCAGGGTCACTAACAAGGATTGTGTGTTTAAAAAAAAAAACAACAACAGGGTTTATCTGATGTAAATTTGGAGTTCCAACATGAATATTTGATATTCCTTCAGCTGGTGCCTGCTGCCCCATCCTCCCTGCTGCATTCCTGGCTCATTCCTACCACAACAGGGAGAGGACCGGGATATCCCCAGGGATGTTTCCCCTGGGAAACACCTCCTCCCTCTCAGGAGCTTTGATTCCGAGTTTGCCTTTGTGATGCTGGCAGCAGCAGGATCAGGGAGATTCCAGGGCTGGAATTGTGACCCCAGGCAGAGCCAGGCACAGGGAATGACTTTAGCAGGCTGCCTTCATCCTGCTGCTGTTGGCTTTCCCCGATTTTCATCCCTGGATGTTTAATGAATTCCGAGGGAGGCGTGGAGACAGCGAGGGAGATCCAGACAGATTTATAAACTTGCCAAAAAAAAATAAGGTCATTTGGCAGAGATTTGGGTGCTGCGGTGCCAGGGCTGGGAATATCTGCCTGGATTTAGGGAGCACACCCAGCCTGGGAGGAGCTGAGATTAGGAAGCTTCTCCCTCTGCCCGGCCAAAAATCAGCTCCATCCTCTGTGCCCATCCTCCTCTGCTTCCCATTCTCACCTGCAATGGATATGTGGGTGTGGGATGAAGGAAAGCGATTTTCCCTGCAACACACACATGAAAAAGGGTGGATTTGTGATATTGGGGAGTTCCTGCAACACCTGGCAGCAGGGCTGAGTCAGGGCAATGCCAACATCTGGGATTGGAGCTTGGGATTCCCTTGGGAGCAGCACGGGGCACTTGGAAACGCCAGTCCAGAGCAGGATTCTCTCTATAAAATCTCTGTTTTATGGCATTTAGACCTGAAACAAAGACTGACTTCACCTTCCAGCAAAGGGCTCAACTCACAGCCACCTCCTAAAAGAGCATCTAAACCAGAAATCCAGGAAAATCCCACCCTCCAAAGCCTGGCTGGGGCACAACCAGCAGCCCACGTTGGCACTGGGTCACTTCCATGTGGTCAGGGCTCTCTGACAGCCAAAACCTCATCCCAAAACCTCATCCCAAAACCTCGTCCCTGCTCCTAAAGCCCCGGAAAACCTCAGCTATTTCCCAGCTGTTCCAAGGAAAAGCTGCAGATAAAGCCCTGCAAATCTCGGGCACGAGGCTGGGCTCCCAGCGCTGTGACCCCGGGCTGGGGATTAGGGACAGGGATTGGTAATTAAAGACAGAGGGGCACCAAGCAGGGCTCAAGTTTTTTCATTTCCAAAGATTTCCTGCGGTTTGGGGGGGCTGTAAAGAGCTCCTCGATGCAGCAGCAGTGTGATTTGAACAATGCCCTGATGGGGTGATAAGGGGTGAGCGTTTCCTACTCTAATTAAGAGGAAACCCCCGGAGGGTAATGAGCTGCTGGGTCATTACAGCTCCGTGTGCCCGCAGGACACAGCCTGGGAGAGCCAAACTCCCCCGGTTCTGCTGCTTTGTTGGAAACTGCAGATTTTAGCCATCAACACACCTTAAAACCCACCGAAAATGTGGGTAACACTGCTTGTGAAATACATTTCTCCACGTTTTGCTCTCTCAGGACAGCACTTTGTGAGGATGATAAGCCAGATTCCTGGGAGATGTGCTCCTAATCCTATTTAGGAGCAATCCTCTATTTCCTTGTGTCTTTTTTTCCTCCTGTGACCACGTTCCTCCCCTCTCCTTACCTATCCCAGTTTTTTTTTTCATTGGATTAATTCCCACTACAGCTCCATTACAACCAAAACTCTCCTGGGATCATGAGCCAGCACCTGGATACAAATCCTGACTCTCCCAGATTGCAGCTTTGTTTCTATTTCTCGCTTCCTTAAGCAAAAATAATAAATATATAATGCCCAACATAAGGAAAACAAGCAGCCCTTTCTATTCCCATCAGCCTCATCCACAGGTTTCTCAGCTCTGTGGATCCAGGATGACACCAGATGGGAATGCTTTGCTGAGGAGGGGATTTGGGTTATTTTTTCCCTATTTTTAACAACAATATTCCTTCTGTGTAAACTGCAAGCCACGGTGTGCATGGTGACACGTGCCTGTACATTAATTACCAGCTAATTAGGAGCTCTTGTAGCAATTTGGGAGACAAGGGATGTTTGGAGGATGGATAGCTCAGGTTTTCCAGACCATTCCTCCCCTCTGGGCACTGAAGTGCTGCTCTCCTCTGCAACAGGGAAAGGAAGATGGAAATAGAGGAAAATAACTGGGGGAGCATGAAGGAACCACAAATGTGGGAAATGGTGGTGAGATTGGAGAGGAAGGAGGATTCTGGAGGCTGGGACACCCCAGCTCCCTCCCAGCTCTGAGCACTTCCTTCATCCCGGTGGGTTTGTTCCTCCTGTGGCTGCAGAGAGCAACTGGCAGCTCCCACATTTGCCAAAACCATCATGGAAAACCCCCTCCCCACTGTCCCCAGCCCCGTGGTGGCCCTGAGGGATGGCAAGGCCAGCCTGGGGACAGTGACCCAGCAGGGACTCACCAGGACTGCGGCTTCCTCTTCATGATGCCCTGGCGTCTCCACTGCGAGTGGGGGCTCAGGTGGTAGGTGAGCTGCCTGCAGAGCTTCTCCATGGCTCCCAGGGAGTCTCCTTCCTGCAAAACATGGAAAGGACACGGGGTGAGGGCTCTGCAGCTTTGTCACCACACCCATGGGGTGCTCCGAGCTGGGAGCTGCAAAGCCTTAAGTTAAAACTGTCTAGAAAGGGGGAAAAAAACTCTCTGATTGCTAAGATTCTGCAAGACTTCTTTTTCTTTCTTATTTTTCTTCTTTTTCTTCTTATTATTGTATTGTTGCTATTATTATTTTATCGTTTTTATTCCACCGTTACCATCTGACACGACGCAACAGCTTCCAGCACTAAAATTTGGCAGAGACTGATTAAATTTGGTTAAATTACCCATTCACTACCACCAAAACTTGCTTCCCAAAAGCTTGGTGAGCTGATGGAGTCTTGAAAAGAGAAAATCTCACAACATTTGATTGTTAGGATAAATAAAAACATGAAGAAGCATGGTGTCTTCTCAATTTTGGCTCAGATTTCCACCCCAAGGGATACTGGCTTGGAAAACGTGAACTCTGAAAGTTTCTAAGGATTTGGGTCTAGAAATTTTGGGTCCTAAAAATAAACTAAAACCCAATCCTCAGTATCCAGACTATTCCATCATGTTTCAGGATTTTCATAAACATGATTTGCCATCCAATAATTCCAACCACCCATCCTGCAGCGCCTCTCTTGCTCTCTGAAAGGTCACAGGCAGAGAGGAACCTGACTGAAAGATCAATAATGACAAAAAAAAAGATCAAAAATGCAACAATTTGTGCTGTCTGCCTGGTTTTATCAACCTGCTGCATCATTAGGGAAGGATTAAAGAGGAAACCCTACAATAAACAGTCAGCCTGGGCTGCTCAGCCATAGGGATGGCTCAGGATTTTCTGGGAAAATCCTGAGGAAGGTGCTGCATCTTCTCTGCCTGGATAGCCAATTATTGCTGCCTTGACATCCTCCCTGAGAGCTCCACTTTCGCCCCCTAATTTATGAAATTTATGCAATTTATTCCCCCCCTCACCTCTGCATCAGCGGAGCGAGACCGGCCTTATAAAGACATCATAAATATTGAATTACCAGTGAGCAATTGGGATTTTGACAAATCACTTGGGGGAGTACAGGGAAACAATTACAGCAGGTTTTCTCAGGGTAAAAAAAAACCAAAAACCAAAAAAACCCACAACAACCACAAACCCAGCACATCTCTGCAGGTGGTTGGGGCAGAAATATCAGCTGGGATTTGTAGGTTTTGACTCCACTCTAAAAAGGAAGCCTTGATATAAATCGGGGAGGGTTTCTTCCCAGGTATATCATGGTGCTTCCCATTAATCACTGATTTTCCAGCTGATTTTTCCCTGATAATTCCAGGGTGGTGCTTGCCCAGCTCCACCTGCACTGAGGGCAGGCAGTGCCAGGGAATTTCAGCCAGGAGCCACTTCCCCCCTGAGCCTCTGATTCCCAGGAAATCTGGGTTTATAGGAGCACATTTAAACACCTGCTTTTCAACACCTCCTTCACCACCACGCTGAACCCAAAATCAGGGTTTTCATCCCACAAATGTCATTCCTAAGGCATTCCCACAGCTCCTCTCCCACTGCAGGCCCTGTGGCAAAAACCAGCCCCGTGCCCGGATGAACCCTGAGAGGCTCAGCCTGTGGAATGAACACTGAGAAAAAGAAGAAAAGCAAGATTTTACCTCATGTTTCCCGCTGGAAAAGCAGGCAATTCCTTAAATAGAGCCTCAAAACATTTGGGGAAGGCAACACTGCCAGCAACACCTTCCTGGCTGTGGAAGCACCCGCCCCAACATGAGAAGAAAACACCACAGATTTTGACACCTCCCTATATATATATATATTTTTTTTTTTTTTAACCTGCCAGGTGCCAGCAGCTTTCAATTAATGGTGTTTTTTTGTTGTTGGTGGTGGTGTTTTGGGTTTTTTTTTAATTTTTAAGCATTTCAGCAGCCTCTGAAATAGCAGAGTCCACCCTCAGGGATAAGTGGGGATTTCCAGCTCCAAGGCCTCCCTGGAAAAACTGGTGTTGAAAAGGAAACAATGTGCTAAAATCGTGAGGGGGAAGGACACGGTGCTGGCATTTTGTGCTGCAAATTTCCTCCAAAATAACCCTGGAAAAGACAATTCAACCTGTCCAGTGTTATCCCAGCTGAACTGCTGGCAAAGTGAAATGATTCACAAGAGGAATGTGGAGAAAAAGCTGAGAAAGTTAAAAAAAAAAAAAAACCACAAATTTTTGCTGGTTCAGGTGTGTCATGGCCATCTTGCCTCTCCAATGAGTTTTTTTTTGAGGTTTTTGATGAGGTTTTTTTTCCCTTTAGCAGCTCCCAGGCCTCCAGATGGCCAAGGGAAGCTCAGGCCTGAACTTCCCATCAAACCAATTCCTGAATAATTCAGCCCAAAGGAGTTCAGCTCAAGCAAACTCAGCCCATCCATGCTGGTACAGGAGCAGGACAAGGAATATTTTAATCCTTTCTCCACATCCAGTTCATCCTTCCATGGCCATCCTGACCCCTTCAGCCCTTTTTCTTTGAGGTCAACTCCCAAGCCCTGCAGGTCCTGGGATATTTCTATTTTGGGGGGTTTAAGAAATTATTTAGAACCCATGATTCCTGCACACATCAACTCTGTAGATTAAAAAAAAAAAAAAAATTTAAAAAAATCCCATTTCAGAGCCCTCCTAAGGGCACAGGATGGGCTCCTTCCTTCTGCACATCTCATTCCCATGGGTGAGACACAAACTCTGTGCTTCAGGAGCCTCAATTTTTTAGGTTTTTCCCTTCAATTCCTCCCCAGAACAGGCCCAAAACTCATGTGCAGGAGAAGGGACTCTGCTGGTGCTGTGCCAAGGGCTCCAAACAAAAGCTTTTCCTGATCCGAGTCTATCAGGAAATAATTGGAGCTGATGCATACCCTGGTGGGACTGAGCTCAAGAGATTGTTTGGAAAATGAATCAGCTTAAAAATCAGCTTAAAAATCAGCTTAAAAACCAGCCCAGCTCCTGCTGACAAGGTTTGAACCTCCCTGGGGAATGGGGAGACCCTCGGGGAAGGGGATTAGCCTGGGGGAGGGATGATGCCAAGAATTCCTGTGGGATGCTCCCTCTGCCTGGGGATAACATCTCTGCCCTGCACCATCAGCACCCTCAGGAATGATGCAAAAAAAGCCACAAACCCCTCTGGGCAGATCCTGCTGCTTCCAGGGGTGAAGCACTTCCCACAACATCAAAATCAAGGCAAAAAAAAAAAAAACAAAACAACCCTCTTTCTGCCACATCTCCCTCACATCACTCATGGAAGGTCAATATAAAGCTGATTTTTTGTGGTCAGAGGGCAGGGAAACCTCAGCCTGCAGATCCTGAATCGCACAGGGCTGAGTTTTGGGAAACCTCGAGTGCCCTTTCCATGGAAAGGACAACAACCAAGCCCAAAAACTGCATTTTCTCACACCAGAGCCCAATCCCAGAAGCAAAGTCTCCTGAAATAACACACAGGAAAAGCATCACACAAGATGTGGCTCCTCTAACATCACACAGGGGGTGGGAATGTGTATTTTTTTATCTGGTTTTCAAACTCTGTGAGGAAAACTGCATCACAGGGCTGGGGAGATGGGACAGACCACACACATACAGAGTCCAGCCTTTCCAGCTGATGCTGCTGACAGGAAAAAAGCTGGGATGTGCCCTTTTCCTGAGCACTGAGCTCCCAACCAGCTGATAAATGCTGGTGAGGAGCCCTCAGCTGAGCTCCTACAGATCCATCAGCCACCCAGATGGGAATATCCATGAAGTTGTTCCCACTGCCACGATCTTACACCTCTACAGCTCCTGCAGGGAGAGAATTCTGGGTGACACACGGCAAAAATGCTGTGGGCAGCACCTAAATGGATCCCTTAGGATTTTAGCTGTTATAATTTTATATATTTGTAATCCTGTAGTTCTTTAGTGCATGACTCCAAACTCCATATTCAGTGTCAGCTGTTCTTCTCCCATTTTGGTCAGACACAACAATTCCTCTCCAGGCCTGGAAATCAAGGACACCTCACTGCCTCAGGCCCTGAGAAATGTAAACAAAAGTGAGTTGGGGGGAGCAAACTTGGGGTGAATGACTTCATTACCTGAAGCTGGAATTGGAAGATTAACCCCTAATATACAAATGGACCAAAATTATAAAAGTGTGAAAACCCATGACCCCACATCTATTTTGGGTGTAGCCCCTGGGGGACTACATCTGCCCTAAATGTACCTGAAGGCCCTTCAATAAATATAAATAAACTGCTTTTTATTGCCTTAATTCTGTCTGGCCCAAAAAGGGCATCAAAATCAGCTCCTGGAAGGAGCAGGAATGCTGCACAGCTCTCTCTCCCTCTCCCATCCTTGCTGGAAAGCTCTGAGAAGTTGTGCCCTGCTGAGCAATTCCAGGATGACTCAGGGAGCTCACAAAGCCCAGCTTTGCAAGACTCAGCTCAGGGGAGCAGGTTTTGGGCAATGCCTTGCCTTCCACTGGATCTCCCCAAGCTGGCAGAGCCCCAGCACAATTCCTGACCTTTGGATGAGTCGTGGAGCACAGGAGGGATGCAGGCAGGGCTGGGAGCAGAGGATTTCCCTGCAAAGGGCCTCTTTCCCCATCATTCCTGCTCTGCTCCAGCCCTCTGCAGAAGGAGAGGGCTGCTGGGAGGAGCTGGAGGTTGAGGGGAATTGAATCCCTTAACAGATTTCAGCTGGGAATGGGATTCGTGGCACTGTGCAGCCCCCAGCCAGCCCTGCTCCAACGGGAGTTTTCAGCAGGAAAACAAGGAAAGGAGGCACCAGCCAAGCCCTGTGTGTCCCCAGAGAGGATGGGGTGCCCTGGGCTTGTGCTGGGGACCACCAGGCTCCTGCTGCTCTGGGTGAAGAAATGGCAATTGGTCAAACCCAGTGTGACAGATGAGTAAATGTGATGGTTGACTCCCACAATTAAAAGGCAAATATCATGTATATATGTTAAGAGAAGTTTTATAGATTTATAGTTATGTTGTTATCAGGGGTGGC